GGCTTTGTGCGTGGGGAATTGTGTCTCACCAACTTGATTGAGATTTTTGAATCTCAAAGAAGATTGATGGAGGCAGAATGCGGATGTTGTCCATGTGGACGTCAGCAAGATGTTCGACAAGGTTCCGCATATAGACTGGTTAGCAAGGTTAGATCACGTGGAACCCAGGGCGAGCTAGCCATTTGGATACAAAATTGGCTAGACAGTAGGAGACAGGACAGTGGTGTAGGGTAGTTTTTTCTTAGACTAGAGGCCTGTGTCCAGCTGTGTGCCATAGTGACGGGTGCCGGGTCCACTGCTTTTTGTTATTTATATAAATGATTTGGATGTGAATATAGAAGGAATGGTTAATAAGTTTGCAGATGACACCAAAATTGGCAGTGCAGTGGACAGCGAAGAATGTTGCCTCAGAGTACAATGGGATCTTTATCAGATGGGCCGATGGACTGAGGAGTGGCAGATGGAGTTTAATTTGGATAAATGAGGTGTTGCATTCTGGTAAGGCAGATCAGATCAGTGCAGGACTAATACAATTAATAATGAAGTCCTGGGGTGTGTTGCCCAGTGTACAGGTTCATAGTTCCTTGAAAGTGGAGTCACAGGTAGACAGGGTAGTGAAGAAGGTGTTTGGTATGCTTGCCTTTATTGGTCAGTGCATTGAGTATAGGAGTAGAGTGGTCGTGTTGCAATTCTACAGAACATTGGTTAGGCCACTTTTGGCATACTGCATCCGAGGAAGGATGTTGTGAAAATTAAGGTTCAGGAAAGATTTACAAGGATGTTTCCAAGGTAGGAGGATTTGAGCCACAGTGAAAGCCTGAATAGGCTGGGGCTATTTTCCCTGGAGCATCAGAGGCTGAGGGGTGACCTTATTGATGTTTATAAAATCATGAAAGGCATGGATCGGGTGAATAGCCAAGGTCTTTTCCCCAAAGTAGTCGGAGTCCAAAACTACAGTGCATGGGTTGAAGGTGAGAAGGAAATGATTTAAAGGGACGTAAGAGGCAATTTTTCCTTGGAGTGAGGTGTATGTATAGAATCAGTTACCAGAGGAAATGATGGAGAGTGTTACAAAATATAAAAGGCACCTGAATGAATAGGTACATAAATACGAAGGGCTTAGAGGGATATGGGCCAAATGCTGGCAAGTGGGACTAGATTTAGTGTAGATTATCTAGTTGGCATGGACGAGTTGGACCTAAGGGTCTGGTTCTGTCCTGTACAACTCTATAACTGAGTCTGAGAGAAAATTTTTATTTTACAAAAAAAATGTCATGAACAAAGAGCGAATGAGGGTGAATTTATATTATTTTTGCTTTTTCTTCTCTGAAGCCCAAGACAGTGAGGTATTGCTTGATTTTATTCCTTTCTTTTGTACTCCTTTCCCTAATTTATTTCTGTCCCTTACTGAGCTCGACCAGAGGGTGTACACAAACAGTAATTTTCAGATTCCAATTTTTGAAATAAAGCCACAGCAAAACCCTTTAAAATGGAATCAAAGATAGGTCTTAATTACAAAAAATTCCAAACATGCAGGAATTTCTTTGCCACTCCATCCACATACGCAAGTACTCAGAATTAAGGAAAACTGGAGAGGAGGTGTACTACAGGTTACAAGTTTTTGGTAAATCTGCAAATATTATACTTTACATGAGTTGCAACTTCTCAGAGGTCAGAGTGAAATAATGCAGCGTTCCAGGTCCAGCAATTTTCTATCTTTCAGACAAAGAGTAGGCTTCTTTCCAGCCAGCAACTTGAAGGCAGAGGTGGAGGGTCTGAATTAGGCTGCCAGTTGGCCTGAAGACTTGTTGTCTGTCTAGAGGTCAAACAGTAACTGAATTAGAATTCTCAGAATTGTACATCTAATCAATTCTGCAAGTACAGATTTCTGTCATGTGACAGAAATTACTGGTACTTGGGCTACTGGGAAGGTCATTAGGCTAGCAGTGTAGCTTTACCATCGCATTATAATTTACATTGTGACAAGGTAACAAACATAAATGGACGCATATTTTTATAATAATTAACATTTTATGAACTGGTTGGAAGTCAGAAGCTCATCTCCGTGTCCTATTCTACTTTGGCTGGAATATTTGTACCATGCAAAGGTTCAGAACCTTCTGGAAATATGATCACATGACCAGTGTCAGCCATTTTGAGTGCAGAAAGGTTGTCCACTTTTTAAAGGAAACCACAACTGCTTGGTCTGTGAAGTATAGTTGTATTGTTTATTTAAATAGTTTGAACTTGGAGAGTACAGTTTTCTCTGGGATGTTTCTTTTTTGCCCTTTTTAGCCATGATGAGAAGAAATAAAAAGAAACCAGCCAAGAGTTTCATGGCTATTAGATCGTTAACTGACTCTAAACCAAGCTATCTAAATGTAGAATTCAGTTAGCAAGATATAAAACTCGCAGGAAAACAAAGTTTCAACCTGTCTCTTGGTACATTCTAATGCAGAAACTCTAGTCCACAGAAATTACAGTCCCCTCTCAATTCTTTTAACTGCCTCCTGACTCTTTCTTTGGTGTGGATTGTGGAGACACTGCTGAATCCTTTCCAAATCTCCCAATCTGAATTTATTCTCGAATCTGACAGCCTAAATTCATTCAGTTCAATATTACCTGCAGATCTCAACCAAATTCTCCTTCTTTCAAAACATGTAATTATACCATTCTGAGAACTGTATCACACATCTATATCTGTGCCAGATCACTGGTGTTGTGCATGGCAGTGGTTCCATACCAAGAAACATTGACAACCATTCTGTTGTGCTTAAAACACCTATGGCATCAGTCACAGCTACCATACTGACAACTATGACTATTCTTAAAGCTTCTGTTGGGGAGCCTTTAGCTATGGATTGTACTGGAGCTACCACCTGAACGGCTAGTGTCAGAAATAGTTGGATTGGGTGCTTCCTACTAAGGTAGTACCCATTGCTGTACTCTGGTGTGCCCTGTTCTCTGTCTATTCATATGTTTTATACTTTGCTGGCATCTGCTTTTTAAATTATGGTCTCTACAATCTGGATCCACAGCTGAAAATAACAGTTTTCTTTCTCACCACCTGGTAATGGCTGCCAAATTAGCATGGTTACTTGTAGCCATTCTACACTTCTCTGAAGTTGCTGTCCTTTTAGGTAACCTTTCTGGATGGCTGCCTTTGGACTCGGGCTGATATTTGTAATGAAGAGATGTAGTGATAGAAAGGGCAAGTTGAGCTGGGTGTTGCTGATAAAAAGATACTTGTTAGGAGGGCAGAAGAAATTAGAGGTAGTCAAGCTACACAACAATCATTTCACTTTAGAAAGTTGAATTTGAACATTGGCATTTTGTGATAACTGGTTTCATCTGGGTGACATGAACTGAACAGATATGAACAGCGCTTCTTAACTGACAGGTCTTCAAGTAAACTTAATTCATGTACCCCATTTCTGTTACCATACAGCTGGCACAAGTAATTGCTATAGCTATCCAAGAGCTGCAAGTCTTTTTGCCCAAATATACAGAAAGGAACAACAGTTTGTGAGGGAACCATTGTATACCTAAATCACTTTCTTGCAGGGCGGATCAGGATAGAATGGCAACCTATCTACAAAATTGTCAGATAAGGCCACTTATGGCCGTCCATTACCAATGACTGCTTTTTATTTCAAACTTTTAGGAGTGCTGACAGAGTACTTCAAAATCATGGCTCTCTCTTCTCTTTACTTGCATTGGCAGACTACAACTCTTTTCATTCTGTAGAGCCTCCAGTTAGTCTTAATTGGGTGGCTAGTACATCCTTTTAGCCAATGTGCCTGACTTGCCCAATGTTAGGTTTCTGTTTGAGTTGGAACATGTACTGATATTAGGGTTTCAACCTAAAAGTCTGTTTATGGTGTTTGAGGTAGGGAAGCAAGGTACTTAAAAAATATATTTATTTTTAATAATTTTGTGTGGTTCCTGTTGTGATGTCTGGAGGTGGAACATAATACCAAGATTGCCAGCACCTCATTGTGGACAAGCATCCAACTGTGCCAAAAACTTAGTTCCTATTTGTTGACTATCAAAATAGGCTTCAGCTAAAGTGTGCAAATTTAGCTGTTTCCTTTAAAATCAATTGGTAACAATTCTTGAAATATGCCGTTTTGTTTTTGGACACCGGAAAGCTGCCTTTAAACTGCTGCAATTACTGAATTGTTGCAGCATCATTGAAATCTGCTCCCTTTCAATAAGTGAAACTCAAAGTAAGGTGCACAAAGAGTGCTGGGTGTACGTGTACAATAGGAAACTAAGTATCTCTTAGAGAAATAGAGAATATCAAATGGACAAGTGCCATTCTATTCCTGAATTGTAAACCTATCCTGAAAATCAAACTCAAGTTCTTGTATATCTCATGAATAGTCTGCAGGCACACAGTAAAATTCACAATTCCCATAACAAAGTTTTCACACAGATCAAAATTGCAAGTGCTTTAAATTCCTAATAAACTAAACTAAATAGTAAGGTTTTTGCAAAATCCAAGTTCCTGATATAGTACATGCACATTATATTCGAGTTTAATACAAATAACCCTCATATGCAGCAGTCAACAATATATGGTCTAAGCCTGGGGGTTCAAAACAGCTGTCAGAACATTACAGTCAACAAACTTGCAGATGACACATAACTTTCTTAAAAAAAAAAAAAATGCTAGTAAATATTACAGAAAGTTGAGTACATATTTGGCAGTCTCAATCAGTCTAGATCCAGCTCAGCCAATCAGAAGAGCTGCCTTCCATAATAATTAATAGAACCTTTTAGGAATGTGCACAATCTGTCTCTTATTGCTCAGGAGGAGATTAGAGATCTGTATGGATGAGGCTGAAAATATGGAGTTTAAGCATTAGAGTATCTTTTTTTGTTTTCACTAATCAGTTCAAGTCACTTTTGAGAAGAAAATGCTTCTTCATTCCTTTTTTTCATGCCTCAGAAATTTTTTTTTTTTTTAAATTTATTATCTTCTTTTGAAAAATCAGAGACTCTTCATGTGAAGCAGAACTCCACGAACTAATACATCAAATTGATGTAATGGTAAGCTGTAAAAACACAGAATGGGAACAACATTCACAAAGCCTTGAGACCCAGCTTGAAATGCGTGAACTTGAATTGAACAACATGCAGACTTGCCTTGAGCAGAAGCATCATGAGGTAAGACAGCTTCTTATGCAGGCATTGTATTGAGTGTATTTCAAGTTGGCAGACATTGTATGGAGTCTATTTCAAGTTGGAAATGAGAACTAATTAATTATGAGAAATTAAACCAAGTCGATAATTTCAGTGAGCTCTATTTGGATGGCATAGATCCACTGATATTACTTTTTACGTAACAGAAACTGCTGCAGCAACTGTATCTTTTGCTAATCCTCAACTTCTAGATCTAACCTTGTGTTATCCATGGTCACCATTGGACTCCTCCAGTATCTACTGAGCTTGAATTGACCTATCTTTTTATATGCTTAATTGGTTTCAGTCTCCCTGGCTGCTTTAGCTTCCATCACAATTTTAGCTTTAGTTTCCTTAGAAACTGAAGGGATTTTTTTTTTTTGGGTTTCCCTTCAGCTAGGGTTCATCTTTAAAATAAATTTAAAAAATCAAGCTGTGCATATGCAGATTCCATCATAAGATGCACTACTAATTCTAGAACACAAACCTTCATACCATAGCCAGGATAAGTGAGGGCCCATATACATTTCTCTATCCAATGCTACGTGCTGCCACTTGATCATATTGATCATTCCACCATCATTGTATATGCAGAAGATTTTGCAGTATCATCTTTTGGTTGGTTGTTTTAATTGCTCATCCTTGGAATATGGCAGGACTGCAATTTTTTTCTCTAATCCCTTGGTTCTATTCTAGCTTAACATTGTCCACAGCATGCTACTTCCAATTTTTAGCATGCATGTAGTCCAGTGTTGTAGCTTCATTAGTTTGGTAGCTCATTTTGAGGTATGTGTGTTGCTCTTGGCTTGCTTTCTTATATTCCTCATTGAGTCATAGGTTATCCTAGTGCTTGATGTTGATAGTAGAGTGTGGGATGTGCTGGACCATCATATTACTAATTGTGATTCTGTTCAGTCAGTCGTAGTACTATTAAGCCACTTTTGGCATTAAAGACCCACACTGAGAGTACACTTGTATTATGTTTAAGAACAAAGAAGAATACAGCACAGCAGGAACAAGTCTTTCAGCCCTCCACGCCTGCACTGACACATTTTGCCCTTCCATACTAAACTACCTTCACCTTACAGGATGCGTATCCCTCTATCCCTTTCATAGTCATGTATTCATCCAGGTACTTCTTGAATGCTGCTATTGTGCCTGCTTCCACCAACTCTTCTAGCAAAGCATTCCAAGCAGTCACCCCCTACACCTCCACTCCCCAAACCTGTGACCCCTAGTAAGTGACCACTCCACCGTGGGGGGGCAAAAGCCTCATACTTTCCACTCTATCCATGCCATTCACAATCATATAAACTTCTATAAGGTCGCCCCTCAACCTCCTGCTTTCCAGTGAAAACAAACCCAGTCTATCCAACCTTTCTTCATAGTTAAAATCCCCCATACCAGGCAACATCCTGGTAAACCTTTTCTGTACCATCTCCAAAGCATCCCCATCCTTCTGGTATTGTGGTGACCAGAACTGAATGCAATATTCCAAGTGTGGTCTAAGCAAAGTTCTATAAAGCAGCAGCATAATTTACCTATCCTTGTATTCGATGCCCCTTCTAATGAAGTCAAGCATGCCAGAGGCCTTTTTTTAACTACCTTATCTACCTGCGCTGCCACCTTCAGTGATCTATGGACCTGCACACCCAGATCACTGAAGGTATATCAGTACTCCTAAGGGGGTCCTGCCAATCACTGTATAATTTCCACCTGTAATTGACCTTCCAAAATGCATCACCTCACATTAGTCCAGATTAAACTCCATCTGCCATTTTTCTGCCCATGCCTCCAACTGATCTATATCCTGCTGTATCCTCTGACAATCGTCCTCACTATCCACAACTCCACCAATCTTTGTATTGTCCACAAACTTGCTAATGAGACCAACTACGTTTTCATTCAAATCACTTATGTAGACCATGACAGCAGAGGTCCCAGCACTGATCTCTGTAGAACACCACTAGTCATAACCACCCATTCTGAAAAGCATCCTTCCACTGCTACCCTCTCTCTCCTGTGACTAAGCCAGTTCTGCATCCATCTTGCCAGCTCACCCCTGATAACATGTGACTTCATTTTTGTACCAGTCTGCCATGGGGGACCTTGTCAAAGGCTTTACTGAAGTCCATGTAGACAACATCAAACACTTTTCCCACATCAATCATCTTTGTTACTTCCTTGAAAAACTTGATCAAGTTACCGAGGCACAACCTCCCCCGCACAAAACCACGCTGTCTATTGCTAATAAGTCCATTTGCTTCTAAATGCATCCCTTAGAATCTTTTCCAATAAGTTCCCTACCACTGGCATGAGGCTCACAGGCCTGTGATTTCCTAGACTATCCCTGCTATCCTTAAACAATAGGACAACATTGGCTGTTCTCCAGTCATCTAGGACCTCGCCTGTGGTCCTGGTTAGAGAAATTAATGTTAAATAGGGACATGGTTAATAAGCTGGCAGACTCCAAAACAATTTTGCAAGAGATTTTGAGCAAATATAAAGAACTCTTCAAGGAAACCCTGGGGGAATTGAAGAGTAGAAATTAAATTTCTGTTGAAGCGGGAGGCTCATCCAAGGATTTGATGACATATCTAGTACCATATGCCATCCACCCTAAAGAGAAGGTGGAACTGGAAAGTTGGTTGAACCTGGAAGTGTTGGAACCAGTAACTACCAGCGAATGGGCCACTCCAATCATTCCTGTTTTTAAAAACCGATGGCGCAGCGAGGATTTGTGGTGACTTTAAAGGTCACAGTCAACTTAGCCTTGTGTGTGGATGAATACCCATTTCCACTCACGGACGACCTGTTCAGTGACTGGGGAAAACACATTTTCAAAACTGGATCTGCTGCAGGCCTACTTACAGATGGCCATCGCGAAGGAGTTCCAGCCACTGCTGACGATAGTGACACAGGGGACTGTTCCGCTACAAGTAGCTTCCTTTTGGTATCACCCCAGTGCCTGCTCTATTCCAGAGGACGTGGACAGATGATATTTTGGTTACTGGATCCACCATAGAGGAGCATTTGAAAAACATAGAAGAAACTCTGAAGGGGTTGCAGGTGCATGGCCTACAAGGTAAAAAGGGACAAATGCAAGCCAATGCAAGTTTTTTTTTTTGTTTGAAAGACTGCATTGAGCACCTGGGCCATGTAATCGATGGCGAGGGACCACTTGAGGCGTCCAAGAAGTTTGAGGCTATCACGAAGGCTCCTAGGCCAGAGAATGTTTCGCAAATAAAATCATTCTTAGTACTTGTAAAATACGATGTCAAGTTTGGCAACCATGCTAAAACCTCTGCATCAAATGTTGGGTAAAGAGCAGCTGTGGAAATGGAATTTGAAGCAGCTTACCGGGAGGTGAAGCAAACCCTAAAAAGATCAGAAGTATTGACCTATTTGACCTGAAGTTGCCACTGCAGTTCGTGTGTGATCGGTGCTGTAGTGCTGCACATCTTACCGAACAGGAAGGAAAGGCCCATTGTGTTTGCATCAAGGTCACTGTAGAAGGTAGAGGGAAAATATGCCCAAGTGCAAAAGGAAGGATTGGGCATTATGCTTGGTATTGAGAAGTTCACCCATTTCCTTTACTGTAGGCACTTCTTGCTGCTGAAAGACAGTAGGCCATTAACCTCAGCCTACTCATACGTAATCAGATACTGACAGTTGGGGGAGGGGTGCAGAGAAAAAGGATATTCCCAACTGGAACGTGAAAAATTTATATACTTTTCCCAAGAAGAGAACGTATCGGTATCGGTTTCAGTAGAGATGTATGTTACTCATGGTCATGGATGCCCATTCCAAGTGGTCATGAAGTTGGTATCAGCAGAAGCAATGATAGACCAACTCGATGGACTATTGGCCAGGTTGAGGAACCTCGAACAAGTCATGAGTGACAGTGATATAGTGTAAAGTAGGTGAATGAAGTTGATGTACTGATCACAAATGATTTAATTGAATGGTGAAGTATGCTTTAAGTCTGAATGGCCCATTTCTCTTCTCTTGCTAATTCCTGTCAGTGTCTGGCTATATAATTGAATCCACACTACAAATGAATGGTCCATCTGTCAGACACTGCCATGGCTGGTTATGGAATAATCATATACCACACTTGGCTTGAGTCACTGGAAACAGGTACAACTGTTAACTTTATCTCCTAAAGTGAACCTAGAGACAACCTCTTTAGGTTCTGTATCTCCTAAAGATGACGACTGAGAATTTTTCAAGTTTTATTTTTCAGGTTACAATAAAATGCACCTGGGATGCAGTCCTTTCAGTTGGTGACTGCTGTACTGCTGATAGAAGCTCTGCTCAAAGAGAGCATGAATTAGAGTTACTTCCTCTGATTCTTGAATCCATGTTCCCTTCAAGCACAGGCCCTTCACTGGGAGTGAAGAATCAGTAAATTTATCCTTCTGTTACAAATATATCATCATATGGGTAAATGGCCTCCTGTGTTGTAACCATTCTTATGATTTCTTTTTTTTTCATCAAATGCTTAAAATACAATTCTGTTTCATAGGTGGGTAAGCTTCGTCAGCAGCTAGAAGACTTTGAGAACTTTCACAGGGAAATGATACTTAAATATAAAGAACGTCTTAAGTCCTTTAAATCTGATGTAAGTGAAATATATTTCACTGATATTTAATCAAAGTTCAATTTCTAAATACTGGAATATACTGATTAGGCTTGTATGCATTTTTAAAATTGTTTATCACTTCTGAAAATTATGATTTGTTTTTTTTTTCCTGACCTGTTCCTGCATCGCTGTAACTTAATTGCAAGAGCACTTGAAATTTTGCTTGTGGACCAAAGTGGGTTTTCTGTTTCACTCCTCAAATTTATAATGCAGAGTTAAAACAGTTGTAAGGGGGTTCCTTGGCAAGGCATTTTAAAAATGTAAGTCTCATTCACTTTTGGTTTAGCAGGAGGATCTGGCTAAAGGTTCTGAAATGCTTTTTTTTTTGTTTAACTAGCATGTGTAGTTCTCATGGCATTTTAATGTGAGGCATACCTTCAAACGACCCAAACACCCAATCTTACACTTCACATAATCATCTCATTGTCCTGAATACTAATAAATATGGGCACAACCTACTCCACCTTCACTCTTTAGGGAACCTCTTATCTCAGAAATCAGCCTAGTTGAGCTTTTTAAACTGCTTCCAATGCAACTATAACTGCATAAAATAAGGGGACTAGAATTGTACACAATATTCTAGGTGCCATTTTGCCAGTGCACAGTATAATTGTAGTAAGTCTTCCAGCTTTTGTAGCCCATCCTCTTGCAAAAAAGGCCAACAGTTCCATTCATTGAGTTAATTGGTAGATCTGAATACTATCTTTGTGAATTGTGTAGGACACCCAACTATGCACTTTCCCACATTATACTCCATCTGAAAAACGTTGTTACCTCACTTAAGACTCATTTTATATATCCTCATCACCACTTGATTTCCTAGCTAACACTGTAGATGATTTGTTGATGACACAAAGTGCTCAGCCCATTCTTCCAAGTGATTAACATAAATCATAAATAGTTGAGGCCCCTATCCTGAACTGTATCTCACCTAGAATCACTGCACCTGGTGTACCAATATTTTACTAAAATGGTTCGCATATCCGTGCAATGCAAATGCATGTCAGAAATGGAAAGGAAATTGAGTCAGTAACTTATCCAGAACTATTTGCAGCAGAAACTTTCTGATACAGATCGGTCTTGGCAGTCACCTATATACTCGCCAAAACCCAACAATCCCAGATGATGAATGTCTTGTGTTTGAAAATGTAACTGCCCTATTTCAAAATACCTGTCTATTCCAAGATGCAACTGTACTTGTACAGGACTACAAGTAAGGGATTGAGCTATAGCATTGTATGTTTATGACACTTCTTCTGTATCTCATCTCATTCATACTTTTCAAAAAAAACTCTCAATAACTAATTTTCTATCAAGGTTACTCAGACAACCTGTTGGTAGATGATTGCCACAGCATGAGAACTCCAATTCAGTATCCCCTGTAAATAGGAACATCAGAGCAGGAGTAGGCCATTCAGTGCCTCCAGCCTGTGCTGCCATTCAATGAGATTGGAGCTGATCTGTAGCCTAGGTGCTAATACTTTGGCCCATATCCCTTAATAATTTACCTTTACTTAACAAAAACGTATCTATCTCCGATTTAAAATTGGCAACTGAACTAACATGAACTCTGTGTTTGAAGAGTTACAAGCATCTACCACATTGTGTAGAAGTGCTTTCTAAATCTCTCTTGAACAGTCTAGTCCTAATTTTTAGACACTATTGTGTTCCTAGAACTATACAATCAAAATAGTTAACCTTTTTTATCTGAGACAACAAGGTGCAGGGCTGGATGAACACAGCAGGCCAAGCAGCA